AAAATTGGGGAGTCAAATGGAGGTTAAGAGGTTTGATAATCCATATAATAACCCCGTTGGAGTTGCTCTAACAGTAGAGGTTAGCCTAATGGTCAAACCACAAGAGAGTTATATGCTATTTACCTTATTAATACAATAATAAAAATTATCTAGTTAAAAGCGATACTTTTAGGCTACTATCCTAACATTTCAGTGGATCATAAATAAGTACTTCCTGATGACAAAGAGCTTAAGTAAAGCTTTAATATTTGGAAAACAAATTAAATGAATTTGAGATGTCATATATCTTGCTTATTATTGATGTGCTTTAAAAATAAAATAAAAATTAGAGCATGAATATTAAACTGCTAAGCCGTGTTCGTCGAATATAGCAATCGTCGAGCTGAGATTAGATGAACAAAGTAAATTATGATTTATGGGCAAATGGCAAAAAGGCCCATCACATGGGACTTAAATGCATTTTGGTCCACAAAAAAACAGTCTCTCAATTAAGCCCATCCCCATGTCTTTAGTCTAAAATATCCTCAATAATATAATTCTTATCAATTCCACCCAATATGATCTAACTTCCTTAATATTACCACATTGACCCCGGATTTAAACAAATATATCACATTAACCCCCAAAACTTTTTTTTTTCAGAAAATAATTTTTTTTCTGAAATGTGTTTTTTCCGGCAAGATTCCGGCGTTGACCGCCGGAGACCGCCGGTCTCCGGCGTTGACTCATTTTTTTTTTTTTTTTTTTTGAATTGTTTTTTATTAGAAAAAAAATATTTTAATTAATATTACTGTCTTGACTACTAAATTACTGTCTTAGACAGTAATATTACTGTTTGGGACAGTAATATTATGAATATTATTTTTCCGAACAGTAATATTATTAATATTATTGTCTAAGACAGTTAAATTACTGTTGTAGACAGTAATTTAACATCCAAGACAGTAATATTAATTAAAATAAATTTGTTTTAAGGAAAAAAATTAAAAAAAAAAAAAGTCAATTAACAGTTAAATTACTGTCTCCGACAGTTAAATAACTGCTGGAGACAGTAATTTAGCAACGAATACAGTAATATTAATTAAAAATATTTTTTTTAAGAATAAAAAAGTCAATTAACAGTTAAATTACTGTCTCCGACAGTTAAATAACTGCTGGAGACAGTAATTTAGCAACGAATACAGTAATATTAATTAAAAATATTGTTTTTAAGAATAAAAAAGTCAAATAACAGTTAAATTACTGTCTCCGACAGTTAAATAACTGCTGGAGACAATAATTTAGCAACGAATACAGTAATATTAATTAAAAATATTTTTTTTAAGAATAAAAAAGTCAATTTACAGTTAAATTACTGTCTCCGACAGTTAAATAACTGTTGGAGACAGTAATTTAGCAACGAATACAGTAATATTAATTAAAATATTTTTGAAGAAAAAAAAAAAAAACACAGTCAATTAACAGTTAAATTACTGTCTCCGACAGTTAAATAGCTGCCGGAGACAGTAATTTAGCAGCCAAGATAGTAAAATTAATTAAAATATTTTTTTTAAGAAAAAAAAAATGTCAACGCTAGAGACCCGGCCGGAAAAAAATTTCAGGAAAACAAAATTCAATAAAAAAAAAAAAAAAAAATGTCAACGCCGGAGACCGGCGGTCTCCGGCGGTCGACGCCGGAATCTGGCCGGAAAAAAAAAATTCAGAAAAAAAATTATTTTCAGAAAAAAAAAAGTTTTGGGGGTTAATGTGATATATTTGTTAAAATCCGGGGTCAATGTGTAATATTAAGGAAGTTAGAGCATAATTGGTGGAATTGATAAGAATTAGGGTTAAAATTGGGGTCAAAATTGAAATTAGGGTTAAAATTGGTTAATTGATGAAATTTGGCTAAATTGGGGTGTAAATCATGAAATTGGAGTTGAATTGGGTTTCAATGAATTAGGGGTAATTTTGGTATATATAAAAGGATTTTCCTTATTTGCAAATAAGTTTGAATGGGGTGGATTTATTTGGAAGACAAAAAAGTTGGATGTTCCTATTTTAATTAAGTGCCCTTGTCATGGGCTTTTTTGTGATTACCCCATGATTTATAAACTTACTGATTAAAGGAATTCAATAGAAACTATCAAGTACTGATATATGTCCAATGAAAATGAAAGTTATGCCTCCTCTGAACCCGCGCTCAGCTCGTATTTGTCGACGCGAAAACTACGACCCTGGAAGTCTCTAATTATAACAGTGTGAATATTACTTTAATTAATTCCAATTCGTAGCGAACAAATTAAGCAAATTTATCAAAACATTTGTGGATAATATCGGATAAACTCTGTTGATGTGTGCAATTTCTTGAACGGCAAGCTAATATTTAATTTCAAGAAACATGAAATTGATATAACCAAGCATAGAAAAATTACACAGAAAATAAAGAAGGAGAAACGGCAGAAATGGCAGGGTATTGAAGATCTCCATACCTTTTCTTTATTCGATTTTCCATGAACTAAAATATAAGATTTTGTATAATGCACTTGAGTTTGTAGCTAAGAAATTCAAGTGGGAAACCAAAGGGGATAAGAAAATGGTTGGCCGAGCTCTACAGCTCATTTACCCGATCAAACGATAAGAGCTTCATCCGACCAAACAAGCACGAACTCACCATTTCGGCAAGAAGTCTGAACCAACGAGAAATCATAGCATTAACATAATCCACCCCCAAGAAAAGCAGCTAAGAACATAGTCAGTGGGTTAAGAAAATAACGCATACTCCAAGATGATCAATTTGTATTCTCACGTTCAACTTGGAGTGGGGGAGTAGTTGATCCGGACATATTTGCAGGACCGAAAAAGGCAAGGTCCAACAGAATTTGCCCACGCCCGAAAGAGGAAATAAGACCACATGGGATCCGAGCTTGTTGGCCTATTTCATCAGATCTTTATAAATTGCCCAAAACATTGAGCCCACAAGTGTAAGGCCCAAAGAATATAATACATTGTAAGTAAAGACGAACTAGGTGACCCTCGACGAGCTGGAGACCTCTAAACGAGCCGAAGGTAGCTCACGAGTGTCGAGTGCCAAGTGACGAGCCGACGAGCGCCGAGTGCCAAGCGACGAGCCGACGAGTGCCAAGTGCCGAGTGTCGAGTAACGAGCTGCCGAGCGCCGAGTGACGAATGTCGAGTGGAAAGTAGCTGACGTGTCGAGTGACGAGTGACAAGCTGCCGAGTACCGAGCGCCGAGTGATGAATGACGAGCTGAAGATGCCACCTCATGACTTAAACATTAAGACATAGCAAATATCTTCATAACTTAACCACTAAGACTTATAAAATGTCATGAACATGAAATGATTCTATTAACCGAATTGGATATAATAATGACATCCGAAAATCATCTTCTATAAATATCTATAAATAGAGGGTTCATCACCCTCAAGGTAAGCAGATTTGGTCTTTGAAATACCATTTTTCTCATGAATATATTTATCCGAATCTTTGAGGGGTTCTAACTTGGGCGTCGGAGTGCTAATACCGGGAGCACCTCTCCCGGCCCCTTTTACAAGTCCGCGACGAACATGCCAAATATGGAATGGACTTGGAAATTCGAGATTCCTTGAAGCGAAAAACCCAGCCGCATCAACTGTCATTAACAGTAATTATATTGTCCATGACAGTACATTCACGTAATTATACTTTTGTTGACAGTACATTAACGTAATTGTGCTGTCAACGACAACACATTTATGTAATTGTACTGTCGTTGACAGTACAATTAGTGCCAGCGACAAAATTATTAATTTTTCATTTTTTTTTAACTTTGTTTGATTTGTTAACAAGTCAACGTAATTATATTACTATCGTTGACAGTAAAATAACTGTAAATACATTAATATTATTGTCAACCACATCAATATTATTTTTTTGAATTTTTTGTTTTGTTTGAATTGTTGACGGAGTAACGTAATAATATTATTGTCTACTATTGTAATAATACTGTAAACACAATAATATTAATGTGGTTGACGGTAAAATTACAGTTGTTACAGTAATATTATTGTCAACCACAATAATATTAATTCTTTTGGCTTTTTATGTAACAACAGTTATATTGCTGTCAACCACAATAATATTAATTATTTTGACTTTTTATTATGTTTACCTTTTGTTGAACGGTCAAGATATTAATATTACTCTATTACACAATAATAATGACTTTTTTGTGTTAATATTACTGTGCTAGAGATTAATATAACAATATTACTGTATTAAACTGCAGTATAATTAGTTTTACTGTGTTTAACAGTAATATTGTTAATAATACTGTCAACCACAACAATGTTGCTGTTTAAACGGGGGGTGGGGGGGGGGGCACAAAATGATGTTAAAGAAAAAAAATAAAAAATAAAAATGAAAAATTGGAAAAGACAACGCCGGAAACCGGCAGAAAAATCAAGAGGAAAAAAAAAAAGTCAACGGCGGCGACATACGGAATTGTACTCAAAATTGTACTTAAGGTGAAAATTGAATAGTTGTGAAATTTGGGGTTAGATTGAGGTTAAATTAAATTAAATGATAAAATTTGAGCATATTAAAATGTGAAGGGCTATTTAAGTCTTTTACAAACCTCTGCACAATATGTAGACTTTTTTATAAAAAAAATAATTGTCTGAACCCCCATTTTATATGAATAAGTAGCATTGATGGGTTTAGTTTTGTAAGTAGACTTCTTTTTAACATTCAATGTACCACGGGAAGTGCGAGCCAATCATAGCTAAGCTACTTGTCTTCTTGTCGTACGGGGATTGGGCCAGAGATAAGGGAACATAGCATGGTCTGCTTCGTATATACGCCCCCGTGGCGCCACGTGTACACCCCTTTTATATTACTTTTTTTTTTAAATATATATATCATAAATTATATTATTCTATTAATATAATACACACGTTAGTAATCGCACATATATATTATTATTATTTATTTACTTTTGTTTTAAAAGTCACAGCAAAGTCGAGAATTACTCCCAAAGATCAAAGATTCCAATTATCCTCCCACACAGATTCCCCCTGCTCCTCCAATAAGTGAATACACACACACTGTGTGAGAAACAAGATTCTGCTTGCGAGGAAAGGCGGCTGCTTTTTTATCCACAGAATATTTAGAAAAGTTTATTTTATTTTATATTCTCTCTCTAGAAAAGAAAAAGGAAAAAAAAGAAAAAAGAAAGAGAGAGAGAGAGAGAGATTTCCGTTTGTTTCCCGAAAATGGGGAGAAGAAAGCTCGAGATGAAGCAGATCGAAAACAACAGTGCTCGGATGGTTTGTTTCTCGAAGAGAAGAAGCGGCTTGATTAAGAAAGCCAAGGAATTATCTGTTCTCTGCGATGTCGACGTGGCCGCCATTATCTTCTCCAAGAGAGGAAAGCTTTATCAGTATTGTAGCGCCAATAGGTAATTAACACCACCTAATCTCTTAATTATTTGAATTATGTTTTCGTTTACATACATAGAGTTGAAATTGTTGGTTGGTGGGAATTTCAAAACCCTAGTTCTAATATTCCTAAAATAGAAGTTTGTTAGATATTTTAGTAGTCAGTTAAGTTTACGATCTTTTAGAGCAGCTCCAATAGAGAGGAATTAATAAAGGGATCGGATAATAAAATTACTATTTCGGTACTTGAAAATTCAAAAGTACTCCTTCAGTGGTGGAGGAATTTGAGGTGCAAAATTGCTCCCAGAAAAGAAGAGGACTCAAATATTCCTTAAAAATAGCTCCTGCAATTTCAACATATTACAAACATAAAGAGATAATAATTTATTTGATAACTATGAGGAAGGAGCACATAATTTTTTTTTTTTTTTTTTTTGTGAAATATCAAAGTATTACATGAAAAATCAATTAAGTTTTTGATACTTCATCTTGATATCTTCCTCGTATTGAAGTTGCTCTTAGATTCTCAATTTTTTTTTCCTATAATAATAATAATAATAATAATAATAATAATACTAATACATAATGATGTATTTTGGTTTTATTATATTTTTTCAGAAAATGTGTGTTTTTAAAGGCACACAACATTAGGGATGAGCGAGAAAATCGAGAAACCGAAAAATCGAAATTCGAAAACCAAAAAACCCGAACCGATATGCAGCACCGTCTTAACTTAAAATCGCATATACGGTATTTTTTTTTTTGAAAAACCGAAAATATCGGTTTGTGTATGGAGAATAAAAAAATTATCGAGCCGAACCGATTTATACAAAACGACGTCGTTTTGATATAGTATAAATATTTACCGTCTTCCCCTAGCGCGCCTTTATCCTTTGAACGCCTCCAAGTGGCATGTTTTTATTAGTTAATTTTGGGATGTTATTTGCTAATTTTCTCAAACAAACATAATGAAAGTCCAAATTCACTGCTAATCAAATATCGGTTTTATGCCGAACCAATAGACGAAACTGACATGTTCGGTTCTTAAAACATGAAAAACCTATATTATCGGTACGTGTTTGATTTATTGCAAAAACCGAGCCGTACCGACTCGTGAGCACCCCTACACAATGTTAGTGTTTGTCATTCAATCATTGAATATAATTTATTCTCCATATCTGTTTGACAGTATCCTTCGGGAAAAAAAATTGCTTCGTATTAGTATTTGTTAATTAATAGTCATGTGCTCTGAGAGCCATCTTTTATATATATATATATATATATATTGTCACACGTTATCCTCATGCATATGACAACGTTTGTTGAATCACAGATAACTAATTTCCATCTTTGTAAAACGTTTCATAAATTATTTTATAATAATATTATTATTTGTAACGAATTATTTATTTTAATTCTTGTACGTACTTTAACAAATTTAATATCAGTAGAGACTAGAGAATATTATTGTTATTCAATAAGTATAATTTATTTATTATTCATATAATAAGAATATTATTTTATCCTTTTTACCACGTAAAGTATAATTTCAAAATAAATAAGTAAAGGAGCATTTGAAATTATTATGATAATTCTTAATTTCTTTTTACCTTGTATTAATTTTAATAAATAGGGAAGGACAATAAGAGCAAGCTGTTGCTTAAGGGTGTGTTTGGAATTTTTGAATGTTAGATAATGAAGTTGCATAGTTTGCAAGCAAACAGTTATTTTTAATTTCTTTTTTTTATGAAACACCTGCCAAAATACATGTAATGTTTTAATTTATACATTCTCGATGATTATGTGCTTATATTAAAATACGAGGGGTCATGTTATACATTAAAAGTACAAGGAGTTCATATGCATAAAGTTCAAACTATAGGGGCATAAGTGCTAAAACCATAAATAATATATGTTATGTTGCATGTGTAGTATTATACCCTCAATAAAAGATAAATCTTTGAGCACACACTGTGGATATTATTATCAAGTTTTGGTCCTCCGATTGAACTTTCTTTTAATTCTGATGATTTCACTTTAAACTTTTGACTCTCATAATCAAAATTAGGTAACTATCGATTGCTCCTTACAAAACTAAATTTGAAAAAAATCGAGAAAAAGAACATTTGCGCAAAGTGTATCTTGTTGTACTCGATCTTGCAAGTTCTTACTCGTAACTGGCAAATCCTCTTTTGATCATGACTTATCATGCATTTATGATGTCGATTTTTCTTGTTCTCTTACTCCTATTCTAACATTATTTCATATGTTAAAAAAAAAAAAGCATTACAAATCTCATTTTTTAAGACACGAGTTCAAATGAAAAATTCTGAGTTTATTTAGAAGTTCATGTTGCTTATTGGTTGATTGGTCACAATTTTAAGAGTTCCATATCTACGAGCAAGATATAATTTTATTTTATTTTTTAATCGAAAAAAGGACAGATGTAAGATCAAAAACATACTGTTCGTTTGTAAGGAATGAATGTACTTACTACAAAGACAATTTATGAATGTGTCCTTTTCAACTTTCCAATATTCCATGTTTGATAAAGTACATATGATTTTGTTTCTTAGTGAAAGATCATTGCATTTCTTCTTGCCTTATTAAAACTTTATTCCAATTGCATTCTTATTCTTCTTTTGGTTGTAGCTCAATATTATTTTGTTTTTGCATGAGCATTCACGTTTACTGTTGTTGTTGTTATATACAGTATGGCGCAGGTCCTGCAAGAATATCAAAGTCGAGTCGAGAGTGAGAAAGATGGTTGCGATACAGAGGTAAGATTCACGCCTCCGACAATGGATTTTGGAAGAAAAAAAAGAAAAAAGAAAAATTGAATACACAGCTCTTACTCAACATTTACATTGTCAAAATGTGGAGCATTACTAAAATTTGAAATATTATCACTTATCAAACATGATTGGTGATATTAATAAATACACGAGTTTGATTGATGATATTTATTCTTGTGAGATATTAATCAATTCCTTCCATCCGAATGTACGTTTAAGATTAATTTTTCAACTGTAATTCCTTTTCTTTTTTTTTTCTTTTTAATTTAGTCGTTTTTAATATATGCTTTATCTCGATTCTATTGCTCTCTATGTCACTCTTTGTTATCTCGCTCCCATTCACTCTCGCTCTGGATCTAGTGTTCCTTTTCCAAAATCAACTAGTTTAATGATATATGTCATTCGAGAGAAGATTTTATGTTAAATCTTATGATACTTTTGGTAGATGGTTTCTCGATCTGTGATCTCTTAATTTTCTAACACGTAACGATAAATTAGTCGACGTACCTAGTTGATTTTAGTCAACCACCAACATCCAATGTTCACCTTAAGTTGACGTAACACTCCCCTCGAGCTTAGAGTCTATGAATAAGTAGTAGAATTGATAGCATTGTCAAAAACCGGTGATTGATGGCAGGATCTGTACTCCAGAAACGGTGATTATCTTACATATAGTGAGCTTCTCAAAACTGTTGGAAGGTAACTCCCGATTTCTGAATAATTTAATTTTGATTTTGTTGTAACGCTTTCGGGGTTGTTTACTCACAAGTTATATTTCTTTCCCATAGTGAACTTAAGGAGCCACATGTTGACAAGATAAGTGTGGCGGACCTTGGGCTCATGCAGAAACATCTTGAGACTGCATTAATGGATATACGTTCGACTAAGGTTTCATCTTCACTCTCCATCATAGATGTATATTCAATGAATTGATATAGTAGTTTTTGTTTACCTTTTTGATGAGCTGAGCTTATGTGGCAAGAATGTTCGAACCTCTTGAACAATTAGCAGGCTTCTTCCCAGTTTCTTGTCAACCTGTAAAAACATATTAAAGTTAGTTCCAGAAAACATGGTATTATTGCCTTTCCATTCATACAACATTGTGATGTCAGAATTTATTACTCTATGCAGACAAAATTGATGACGGATGCTCAGTCAAGCCTTCAGGAAAAGGTGCGGAAATCTATTTTTGCCACTATTATATTGCAGGGAAATTGCTGTAATCCGAGTATTCTCCAGTGTGTGTGTGTGATAAAAGATAAAACCTTACAACAGCTTATATTATGTGATCAGGAAAAGATGCTGGAAGAAGAAAAAAAGCATTTCAACGAGGTTATTAAAGTTGAAACCCTGCATATATATATATATATATATATATATATATATATATATATATATATATATATATATATATTATGTTATCACAAAAATTAATTTACTACACACAATTGTTTACATATTACAGATTGTTGAAGGCAATAATAGTGCTAAGAAAAAGAAGGTGGTGATAGATCTCAACATTGCCGTAGACTGCTAAACGACAAATGGAAGCATACAACACCGGACGGACCTCGTTCAAACTTTTATGTGTAAAATAAAAAATAAAATATCTGCAGAATCATAAAAATGGATGCAGGTATAAATAAAAGGTGCTAGAGGAATATCTACCTACCTCTTAATTGTGAGCAAGGCCCTTGTTGCATGGTGTGTAAGCTGCTTGACCCCTCTTCGGTATTCGAGCTTTTGTTAAATACTGCTCTGTTTTTAACGGTTGAACATATATGGGATATATGCTTCGCTTTAGCCCACACCACTTTTATCATTGCATACAAAACAAAACTCTATCTGCAAAACGTGGTTGAATAATCTTCACATGAAAAATTAGGCTTCCTTTAATTGTTGACGTCGATTCACTATATATGTTTTAAGGGAAGAAACATAACCAAGTTGACTCTCTTCTTCGTATTCGGACTAGAGGATATTATCAGCTTAATATAAATAATATATAGTTTCTTGATTTTTCTGACCCTGCAGAATTTCATCATTTCGACGACTCTTAAGAGTGACTTCCCACTTAACTGGAATAATTGATTTAGCTGCATAGAAAAATTGACTTGCGATTGATTTATGCATCATAACACGAGTCGAAAAAAATTCACCATTTTAGTACTCGAAATCCTACACGAGTCGAAAAAAATTCAATATTGTTAGGAACGTAGTTTGCGTGTAGAAGAGACCAAGAAAGAAAGAGATATTTAGTCGGCCCTGCATTTAGAAACACTGTGCTTCATGCTACGTGTTTTTGATGAAAATAGAGTTTTAAGTGTTTTGGAGCAAGACCTAGATTTGGCCTTGTACATAGAAAAGAGTTGAGAGAAAACGAGCTTCCCCTGCTCATTTAGGCAAAAGTTCTAGGCACGGTGAGATCTCAAAATCGAGATTATATATCATGTGAGTCGAACCTGTTAATCGAAACTTTGTATTCGTAGAGGCACATAGCAACAATACCAAAAACATGACTTTGTATGCAAGAATGGGTTATGAAAGGAATAAATGGGCACTTCCAAAATTATAAAGTACAGTAATCAATTCTACACTTCATCATTTTCTTTATTGCATGGCATGTTGTATTGCATAGATGCGACTCTAGACGAACATGAGATGTGCCCACAAAAACATGATAGTGCAGAAAGAAGGAAGAAAAAGATATCAAACAAAAATAACAATAGTTCAAAAGTTCTCCTTGTCTCGTACCATAGTCGACAATTTGATTTTAGCTCGATTTAAATCTTGATTCATGTATTAAACCGCATTTGTACCAATATTATTCATATACTAATGCACCTTTAAATAAGATATATTTTCAGCATACGTGCATTTGATTAGACATTTGGTAAATCACTTTTCTATTATTTACTTAGATATTGGGGAGCCGGAGCACTATGTTAAAGTCTCGAATAAAAAAATGCACCTTAAAATAAGATAAAACTCATAAAATGGATTTCGATAAGTCCCGATGAAGGTCCACCCCTAAAAGGCAAAGTGATTCTTGTTAGTCAATTTTTTCAATCACCTTTAAAGTGGTTCTATTATTTACTTGAAATTGTTGTCGAGCAAAGGTACTTAAGATATTAAAATTTGTAAGAGACAAGGAAACGTGATGAGATGCAAAATGCGCTTCGATTCGAAATTGTTGAAACGAGGAACATATTTTGATATATAATTCAATACTATTTCTGTTTTGCAAGCTTGTTAAAACTAGCGTCTCGTATTTGCAGGAAACGGAACAAAAGAGTGCAAGACTCCACCATTTTAAATAAATAAAACACACCTTGAGAGCCAGAGGAAGAACAAAGTACAGATCCTGCCAATTTACAGCCTTATATATTATTATTATTATATATATTCCTCTACAATTCTATATATGTATATATACATAAACGCATATATATGTAGTACATACATGGATCTCGGATTCAGACTTTCGTCAAGTCAAGTAAAATATGATCTGTACACGAATTCAGACTTATTCACACACACACACACACACACACACACACACACAGTCATACACAGAGATATAAATTTATCGAGCAGGTTAAAAACGAAGAGAAAATAGAAAACCTTTATGCATGGCAATAGAACATCACACAAGAATTAAAAATGGAGGAGCGTCGAATTAGTTAATAAGCTTACATCAAATCCAATTGTTTGAAGCTTTCTCTCTGCATATGCATCAAAACCCTTTCCGCTTGCAAAATTTGGAAAAATAAAATTAAAAAACCCTAAAAAAAATCGCATCTTCACCCACCCCCACACCTCATCCCCTTTGGATAGGATTCAAGCTTCCATTACCCCTCTTGACGGAGAATTTTATTTTTTGCCGCTATCTAAAAGTTGGTATTGCGAAAGGTCTAGAGAGAGAGAGGGGGGGTAAAGAGGAGCTAATTATCTAGCCAAGTGGCTGATTGATGCCCCTTATATTATTATTCCCTCAAAACATTGCCACTTGTTCGTATTAAACGCACTACACGTGGCGGCCGATGCTTATTACAAGTATATATAAATAGGGGCAATATGCCAAACATCCTTCATTGGGATTTTAATTCTTGATAAATCATTCTTTTATAAATGATATTTGAGATAAATCCATTGGGCCTGAAAAACTATATATGCCCCCGCTAACTATTAATTAGTAAAATTATTTAATTTTTTAAAAAAATATACCCATAATCTACATCCAAATCTTCTCCTAAAATCATTCCCCTCATCACGCCAATTCAGGTTTTTTTCCTTTTCTTTTTTATTTTGTTTAATGGTTTTCTTTATTTCGATTTAAAAGAAAATTTTGTAATTATTTTATTTTTTTATTTTCGGTTTTTTTTTTAATTGTATTTTTTTCTTATTTATATTTTTCATGTTTTTTTATTTTTAATTTAAAAACATGATTTCATTTTTATTTTTGTTTTTTCGTGGTTTTTCTTTTTTCTTAATTTCAATTTTTTTAAATGTTTTTTTTTTATTTTCTTTCCAGTTTTTTAAATAAAAACCACTCTATATAAATATGAAAACGACTATGTATACACAACTATATAAACATGAAAATCACTCTGTATAACAACTATATAACATGCAAACCACTGTGTATAACGACTATGTAAACTTGAAAACCACTCTGTACAACAACTATGTCAACATAAAAACCACTATGTATATAAAATTATATATAAATTTGTACAAAATTTATTGAAAACTACTATAAAATTGTTGAAAACCACTATAAATTATCAAAGACAAAGCCATACATTATGAAAACCACTCCGTATAAACATCTATATAAACATGAAAACCACTCCGTATAAAACAACTATATAAACATGAAAACTACTTTATATACACAACTATATAAACATCGAAAATCACTATGAATTCTAATAAGAACACATCAAAAATTATGCGAAAAGAAGATATAAAACCACTATAAAGGACACTCCGTATATTTTACGGTGATTGCTCGTACAATCACCATTCTTGATGGTGCATTGTTGCTGATGTATCGAAAGAACTTTGCAGCAGCCGTCCACGAGCTGTGGTATTAAAACACATCAGACCAAGTTCAACTTCACACACATATACAGGAAATGAAAAATCGAAAATAAAAAATCTTATAAGTTAATTACGCAAGTGTACGTATCACAAACAAGTAGTAAAGTAGACTCGTGAGAGTCGGATGTCGATCCCACAGGGAATACGCAAATTATTTAATCCTAAGTACCAAATTTTAACAATTACGATTTTTATCCAGCCTACGCAAGGTTGTCAAATTAATTAACTAAATAAATTAAACTAATTATGAAAGCAAATAAACACGAGAAAATATCAATAAAAACGGACATAGGATTTTATCTTCCCCCTATGCAAGAATTGCTCACCCAAAACCCCTCAATTATGAAATATATGATTCATGATTATTAACCCGAGACACTAATTTACTCATAACCCGCTGTCGCGTGTATTATGAGTCTATTATTCATACACGATTCACTATATGTCTATGCAAACCAATTATAAATAAAGCATTAACTCACAAGTCTCGTAAATGGCTACCTAAGGTGATATCTGTATGTCTACGACACCACATGCAATCGACACACTCATCCGGTGAAAACTACTCGAAGGCTCTTATACTTACCGTCTAATTATCAAAATAGCTCTGTCAAGTCAATCCCAATAATCACAGATAAAGCACATAAATTGATCAAGTTCATGCACTAACAATCATAACAAGTATAAGAAATAATCATAAAATCATAATTGCATAATCTCAAGAAAACGGGTTCACAATCCCCACATAGGGTTCCAATCAAATTCCTAGATTAAAAACTTAGCTACTCATAACGAAAAACATAAAAGTAATAAAAATCATAAAAGCTATAAATAAAAGTCAAAGAGGGGAACTAGGATGAAGATTCGTCAAGTCTTCGTCTTCGTTCTTGTGCTCCTTGATCGCGTGTAGAAAGATGAAAAAATAAAAACCTAAAGATTTAAGATAAAAGGTAAAAGATATCTCTAATTGTGTGCTTGTGGCCTTTAAATAGGGTGCAAAAATATAATAGGGCGGGTTTCCTTGTATAATTAAAATTCCTTCACTGCGCCTTCACGTCCATCCGGACGGCCGTGCGAGATTATGCTTTAAAATCCGCACGGCCGCGCGGGCTTTAATTCTGCAGGAAATCTGATTTTTTTCACTTTTGGCCCACTTTTTCTCTGAATTTGCAGTTTTCACCCCAAAAGTTGTCAATTCTCCAATTTGCACCTAAAATACAAATAATAGCCATTTTAAGCACCAATTATCATTAAAACACACCAAAAGCTCCAATTAAAAGGTATAATTAAGTGTATAAATATACACTTAACACACCCCCAAACTTGAACTTTTGCTTGTCCTCAAGTAAAATCAAATTAAGAACACAAAACAAAACCATACATCTCATTACATAGATTGATGGGTCAACTTCGCGTTTTCAGAACTTGCAATTATGATGACAATTCATAGGTATTCGCAAGCTTAACATTCAACGGCACTTAGTCACTCACTATTACCAAAAACCACAAATCATACAATTGCTTCAAGTATCCAATATTTGCAAGTTAAAGATAGAAAGAATTTATACTTACATGCATATATTTGACTCCAAATACTCACCAAATTATTTTACTCAACTAATATTGAACAATAAGCTATTGGGATCATTGGGACTTTGTTGCTTTCAATTGTTAGGCTCTTTGGTCCGAGGTAG